CTATGGCTGGGAGTTAGTGATGGGAAGCTTCCCAGAAGAGGGATGTCTTTGTCATCCAGTGCTGCTGTAACAGAAATACCACAAGTGGATGTCTTTAACAAAGAGAAATTTATTGTCTCACAGTCCAGTAGGCTACAAGTCCAAATTCAGGGTGTCAACTCCAGGGGAAGGCTTTCTCTCTCTGTTGGGCTTCTCATCAGTGTTCTCCCAGACTAGGAGCTTCTCTGCGCAGGGACCCTGGGTCGAAAGGACACGCTGCACTCCTGGTGCTGCTTTCTTGGTGGTATGAGGTCCCCACTCTCTGCTTGCTTCCCTTTCTTTTTATCTCTTGAGAGAGAAAAGTTGGTGCAGGCCACACTCCAGAGAAACTCCCTTTACATTGGATCAGGGATGTGACCTTAGTAAGGGTGTTACAATCCCACCCTAATCCTCTTTAACATAAAATTACAGTCACAAAATGGAGGACAACCACACAATACTGGGAATCATGGTCCAGCCAAATTGATACACACATTTTTGGGGGGACATAATTCAATCCATGACAAGGGAGTTCTTTTGTTGAGTTTTCAAAGGATGGTATGTTTTGACATGTGGACAAGGGTGGGAAGAACATTCCAGGTAAGAGCACTGTGCAGTTACAGCAGCATGATTGCCCTGGTATGCTGCTGGGGCTGCCTCAGTGAGGAGGGGTAGATTGTATCTACGATTGGACTTCTTCATAAAATTGGCTTTGGAAGATTTTCTGTTTTACTACTTAATGCTTATTGTATATGTGTTGTAATGGAGAATTACATTTTGTTTTCATTTAAGTTAAAAAAATCTTTTTAGAGAATTAAATTTTTATTACAAAAAAAGTAAAAGTAAAAAATTTCTAGAAAAAAAAGAAAAGTAAAAATCCTTTAAATGGTTCATATTCATTGACTCAGTAGTCCTGGTCTTAGGAATTTGAAAATACAAAAAAAAAAAAAAAAGGTTTCTGCTCACAGATGGTGTTATTCAGAAAGTTTTTCAAGAAAGAAAATCTAAATGTATCACAATAGAAAGGTGTTTAGCTAAATTATGGCATGTTACATCAAACGTGATGCTAAGCAAGAGTTTAGCCATGTGAGAAATGCCTACACCGTCAAACAGAAGTTTAGAATGCAAAATTTTATATGTAGACCCTCTGTATCCGCAGGTTCCACATCCATGAATTCAAACAACAACGGATGGAAAATATTAGAGGGAAAAAAGTTACGTTGTTGCTGACGTGTGTACTATGTAGTTAGGCCTACGATGGTTGCGTCCATACTAAACATGTACAGACTTTTTTTTCTTGTCATTATTCCCTAAACAAGACAGTATAACAACTGTTAACATAGCCTTTATGTTGTCTGAAGTATTTTAAGTAATCCAGAAATGATTTAAACTATTTGGCAGAGTGTGCATAGGTTATATGCAAATAGTACAGCATTTTATATAAGGGACTTGCACATCCTTAGATTTTGGTATCCACGGAGGGGGGGGTCCTGGAACCAATCCCTGCGGATACCAAGGGATAACTGTGTATAATACAATCACTGTATAAAAATGCATAGAATATGCGGAAAGGAAATATACTCACATGTTGTTCAGGAGTTGTAACCTGTGATTGGTGAAATGATGGGCAATTTAAAATTTCTTTTTTATACTTTTCTGTTTCTGAAATTACCTGTAATGAATGTGTGTTGCTCTTAATCTGAGTGAAAAAAAGCTTTAACATGCGTTTCTTTTTGCTTTCCTTTCTGCCTTTTTCCTTCTGCCCTTCCCTCCCTCCCAGTTTTAGGTTACTAGACCCTTAGCTTAAGCCTAGTAATTTAAATTAGACCACATGACAAAAACCAGTTACTGCCACTTGGTAGCAGCATGCCCTCATGTCCAGCTTAGTGGTAAAGATCTTGGGCTCTGGTATTAGACTGTTTTGGTTCAAATCCTAGCCTTGGTTTACTAAGCAACGTTACTTTGAGTAAGTTATTTAACTTATTGTTGCCTCATTTTTGTCATCTTTAAAATAGGTTTAACAATAGTTACCACCCCAGGATTGTTGGAAGAATTAAATGAGAATACAAGCAAAGCACTTAGCATGCAGCCAGATATGTCACAAGCACTCAGAAAATTATTAATGTTATTGGCTTAGTTTTAGTATGTAAACTTCTTTAAAGCTTCATCTTCAAAAGTAAATCTAAAAAGCAAAGTCAAACATTCAAGCAAGGACTAACAAGTGTCTCATAATAAGGTAAAATATCTTAAATGTGAATGACATTTGTGTATGTTGAGAAGGGACTGAATAAACAAAGTATGCATTTAATCTGTGATGTGACACATACCCAGTCTTCACCAGCTTGCAGACTGGGCAGGCCTGTTAGAATGGGTGACTCATTCTTCTCTAAATAGCAAGAAACCTTTAAAAAAAAATTTTTTTTTTTTCAAAATCAGTGGAAACTCCTGGAGGAAGATCTGTTAACAGGTAACCTGTGCTTGTCCAGAATACCTTTAAGAGAACAACAAAACCCATTAGTAGGTATTTGTGATCCAGCCAGACTTTGCAACTTGATTTGGATGAATTAGACTGAGAGAAAATGTGTGACACCCTGGCCTGGGCTGGTATACCTGTCGATGTTTCATAATGCCCCTCTCCCTCCTCTCCAAAAATGTGTTCATCCGGCTAATCTGAAATCAGCTAGCAAATCCCATTCCTAGTGGAAAATTGCCAATCCTCGCCAGTGGCTGCAGATAGTCCTCTTGGTATGGGTTTAGAATCCAGGGGCTGTGGAAGGCTCTTTCCTCATTTAAATCCTGGTTTGCAGACATGCACCTGGTGTATCTACCTCTCTTGACATGGCTGTAATTAGGCACGACCGAGCAAGCTGTCAGCTCAGTTTGGGCTCGTCACCCATAGAGGGATAGGGAGGGTGGGAACATGGTGGGACCCAGAAGATCCCATCTCAAGATAGAAGAGACTGGTTTGCAGGTCTTTTGGAGAGAGAGCCTCCAGGAGAGGCTGGAGAGGTCCCTGCTGTAGAGAAGGGGGAGGTGATTTACAAAGGAAGGATTTGTCCCTCCTTCCCCCCTTGGTTAAGGCCACAACAGGGACAGCAAATATTACAGTAGCCAAGGGAGGAGCATGGAAGGAGGGTCACATGCGGGTGAGACCTGCCTCAGTGGCCTATGGGAGGCAGGCCAATAAGCCGCTCACAGTAAGGAGAACAGGTGAAAGGATAAGGAAAGGGACTTGGGCTGGCTGACTTTTGCTGAGTTGAGACCTGTAGTGTGTTATATCCAGAGAGTTTAAAACTTCTCGCTGAAGACCTCATGGCCGGAGTGCTTAGACAGAGGGAGTCTGTCTGCATTTCAGCAGAGGCGGAGGGAATATGTCTTAGCTTTTTAGTGCTGCTATAACAGGAACGGAGCCCCGGTGGTGCAGTGGTTAAGTGCTGCGGTGAGCTACGGCTGCTAACCAAAAGGTTTGCAGTTCAAATCCACCAGCCGCTGCTTGGAAACCTTATGGGGCACTTCTACTCTGTCCTATAGGGTTGCTGTGAGTTGGAATTGACTCTGTGGCAATGGATTTTTTTTTTGGGGGGGGGGTAAATTATAACTGAAATATCGCGAGTGGCTTTAACAAACAGAAATTTATTTTCTCACAGTTCAAGAGGCTGGAAGTCCGAGTTCAGGTCTCTAGCTCTAGGGGAAGGCTCTCTCTATTGGCTCTGGGGGAAGATCCTTGTCTCAGCTGTGTAATCTCAGCGTTCCTCAGTTCCTTGGAGATCTCCACATGCGTCTATCTTCGCCCATTTGTGCTTGCTTCTCTCTGTGTCTACATTGCTCCTTATATCACCCAGCAGTGATTAGGGTTAGTACACACCCCACACTGCTGTTGCCGCATTAACATAACAGAGAAAACTGTATTCCCAAATAGGATTACATCCATATGGATAGGGGTTAGGATTCCAACACATGTTTTTAGAGAACACAGTTCAATCCACAACAGAATATTCCAGCAAAGGCAGTATCCTGTGCACTGATTACCTGGGAAGCATGTGGAAAGGTACCTGTTAAAGGTTATATATCTGCACCATGCCTGTGGGGAGAGAGAAAATGCCACAGAATCTCTAGTGCTGTCGGGAGCCTTGAAGAGAGTGACCAGCCCCAATTCCTTCCTGGTGTCAGAATCCCCCCAGCACCCACCCAGCTCTCCAGTGCCAGGCAGAGGCTCTGCTTTGTAAAATTCCTTGGATCTGGAATCTGAATCAAAGATGTGGTAAAACCCATGTGAAATTGTGCACTACAGATTAGTAAGTAAGCACAAGTAAGCCTGTGCATACCTTTCCTTAATATAAGCCTGTGCATACCTTGCTGACTGGTTACTCCGCCCCGATGGAAACCTGTTGGTGTCTGTCTCTTTATGTCCCCAGGCTCTCCCTGCCCTACCTCCCCAGCTTCTTCAGCCGTTCCTAACAAGCCAGCTCTTCAGGTCTCTTCACCATCTTGGTCACTCTGGTCGGGGAGTTCTACGTTGACTGTGTGGGTCTGAAGGTGGTTTCCCCAGTGTGATCCAGTTGGGGCTGATTTGGGCAGATCTGTCTTCCTTTTCAAAGTCCCTGAGTGGTACATAAAGTTAATCCACTGGGCTGCTAACCAAAAGGTTGGAGGTTTGAGTTCACCCAGAGTTGCTTCAGAAGAAAGGCTTGGTGATCTACTTCTGAAAAATAAGCCATTGAAAACCCTATGGAACATAGCTCTCCTCTGACATACACGGGGTTGCCATGAGTCAGAGGTGACTGAACAGCAACTGCTTGTCCTTTTCTTTAGGCACTATCCAGAGTTTGTGTTCCTTTTTAGTAGCATTATCCATGTCCTTACATGGTGAACACAGAGATGAGGCTGTTGCAAACCATGGACAAAAGAAATAAGAAGGCAGCTAATGATTGTCTTGTCAATGAACTTAAAAGGGACTTACGGTTTTCTCCCCTCTCTTTCAGGTCATCCTTGCCTTGAACCAGAAGCTCCTGCAGCAGGAAAGCCTGTGAGCAGGCAGTGTCCAGATACCCTACACGATGAAGGATCTCATCAAGCACTATAACTGTGGCGACCTCAGGTCCATCATCTTCAGCCACGACAGCTCCCAGGTGAGTGCCCTTGCCCTCTGCCAAGCTCAGCATGCATTGAAGTACAAGAATAAAGACATTACTTGCTGACACCTCCAAGTGTGTACAAAAGATCGAGGTCATGAGGGGGTTTAAGAATAAAACTGGGCCAATTTAGGTGTCATTGAATGAGATGCTGCAGCTAACAAAGGCATTTTTGTAATGAAACTTTTAAGGAATGAGAGGCGCAATGATGAGGGTTGATTCCAGGATCCCAGCCGAAGGATGAAGCTTCAGAGAGTTCAGCAGCAGACCTCATGGCTCAGGCAGCAGGCTGCATGAGCCAGCCTTCAGAAACAGGATGGGATCTGAGTTTGACTTCATTGGTACTTTTGGGAAATGATGGAACAAAACTTTGGCTGCAGCTTTCAGTGGCTTCTAGGAACGTACGAACATGGTATGATGCATAAGAAGCTGGGAAGGCTACCAGCACTTCCAGACATGGGTCCCATCCTGCAGTATTGCTCGACGAGTGTGGCCGAGCTGGCAGATAGAGTGTAAACACGGGATGGGCATTACCTGTGGGCCATCAAAGGGAATGAAGTGGCTGGTTAGACCTCAGACAACTGCAGCTCCACATAGGAGGGAGGTGGGATGGAGATTTGTTATGCTTTTATTAACAAGCGCCTCATGGGACAAGCAAGCCATTACTCTGCCCCCCACCCCACAAGATGATGTGGAAGTGGCAGGTGCTAGCTGAGCTTCTGAGTAGATAAGCATGTTGTTGCCTCCCACCAGGACCGACGTCTTCATGCATGATGCTGGATGGGCAAGAGAGAAGAGAGCTAGTGGGTGTGAGTGATGCTGTCCAGGTATGTGTTAGATTTGGGGACCTTGCCATAGGGAAGTGTACATGAACAGAAGAGGTGAAGAAGGGATGACAGCCTTGGGGAGAAGGGCAAAATGGGCTGAGTCCAGCATCGGGCCAGGAAGGTGACATTTCATTAATAACAGAAGTGTTAGAGATGTTATGAGCTTTCCAGAGTCTGGTGTGGGAGGGGAGTCCCGGGCTGGTGCAACAGTTAACATGCTTGGCTGCTAACCAAAAAGTTGAAGTTTGCATTCACCCAGAGGCACCTTGGAAGAAAGGCCTGGCAATCTACTTCCAAAAGCTCAGCCATTGAAAACACTATGGAGCACAGTTCTATTCTGACACACATGGGATTGCCATGAATCGGAGTTGACTTTATGCAGCAACTGGTGGAGTGGGAGGGAGTAAAACTAACGCAAAGCACGCGGGGGAAAGGGGAAACAAGAAATATGTAAGAGAAGGAATAGTGGAATTTATGGTGGTGATAATTCTTGTGTGCACTCTTGGTGGGGTCAGGGGAATGGGGAGACAGATCAAGATTAATTGGGAAATTAAAATTTGAGGCAGCAGAAAAAAGCTAACGGAAGGATTTGGAAGTTCTGTGGGCAAATGGGAAACCTGGTGGCATAGTAGTTAAATGCGACAGCTGCTAACCAAAAGGTTGGCAGTTCAAATCCACCAGGTGCTCCTTGGAACTCTATGGGGCAGTTCTACTCTGTCCTATAGGGTCGCTATGAGTTGAAGTTGACTTGACAGCAATGGGTTTGGTTTTTTTGGTTTTATGGGCAAATGGTAAGGCTGATGGAACAGTTATGGGGTGGATGTCTTACCTGTGGTTCCTACATACCTGTCCTGCTCACAGAGTCCCTTGAGGTGATGTGGGATATCAGGGGGACATGCCTGCCATTGTGGAATGAGGGCCTGGCTGGCCAGGGCTGAGTGGTGCAGGTCGAGGGTAATGTTGGCCTTTTTCAGCCTCTCCCCACAGGTGACCAAGAACATGTAGGGTCAAGCAGGACGGTAGCAGGAGGCCACCCTGCATATTCTGGGTTACCTGTGGGGAGAGGCTAATACAAAGGGGGTGCTCTACTGAAGAGAGGAGATTTTGGGAAATAGGAGGATCTTACACAAATGACATGATTTTAAAAAAAAGATGACAGAGTGAAAAGATAAAGGCTTTTGATTTAAGGAAATAACAAAAGGAGATCTGTTATCATACAATGGAGATTGATGGCTAGGTTACAGATCGTGCGGACTTTCAAAAGGTCTTTGAGAGGCTATTGGAAATAGGAGACGCAGGCAGGTAGATGTCCTGTTTTGTATTGGACTAAGGTCATGGTTAAAGTTGTTAAATCCCTGGGTGGAGGAGAGAGCATGTGTCAGGAGAAGGTGTGCAGAGGCTGAGGGTAGAAAGGCCAGCAACCGAGGGGGTGGGAAGAAAACACAAAGTGTCAGCTTTACCCAAAGCCACTGAGGTGCAAGAACCACCCCTGACTGTCACAAATTTAGACATAACTGGACTGTCATTAGCCAAAATACTAACTCCAGCTAACGTGTGTGTAACTGAATCAGTTGAAATATTTGCCAAGAACATTGGAGAAAGTGATAGAAATGGGAAATGGAAAAAAAATAAAAAATTTAAATTAATGGAATTTATAAAACAGTAGAATGTTTATAGATATCCCATGTATTTGGTAATAGAATCACAATTATAATTCTCAAACACATAACTCTATCTAAAACTTATTTTTATAGAAACACGTGAATCGAGTGAGCTAAAACTGTGGCTGTGTTATCCAAAGAAATGGTCTCCTTATGTCATCACATGACATCAAACTGAACCATTTAAATGAGACAGAAGAACTGTTTTAAATAGCCTGAGAGTTCTTTCAGTGCACTTCACTTAATATTTTTTCACTTTGGTCACAGAGAATGCTATTATAGTTTGAAAAAGTAGCAGGCAGAGACTCTAGAAATGGTATGTCACTCCTCATCCTTCTCTCAATGACATCTTGATCATCTAGGCTAGCTGATTTGTTGCTCAAATGAAGCAGCTTCATTAATAACTCCGTTGCCCTTAATTTTTTCTTTATTTTTATTTTGGTGGAGGTTCCCAATTTTATTAATGCCACACTACCACCACAGGAGTGTGTCACTGCTCAGGAGATCGACAGCTACTTCCGCCAGGAGCTCATCTACAAGCGGAATGAGAGAATGGGGAAGCGGGTGAAGGCCCTTTTGGAGGAATTCCCTAACAAGAGCTTTTTGTTTGCCTTTGGAGCTGGTGAGTTGTAGGTCACCTTTGATTAGACTCTGGGGTCTGATGGTTGTACCATGGATGGAATGCTGAGGTGAGCACCTGGTCAGGGCCTGTGTTTGCTGTGAGGTGAGATGATGGGAATGATGCTTTCCTTGACTTATTTCTGTTGCAAAGTGACTCCTCCTGGTGCCTGAGTATCCAGCATGGTTGAAACGTTGCCAGATGGCCTGGTACATGTGGCATCTCCCATCACCTCTGTCTCCACCTGGGGCTCATGATTGTTCCCCAACTGGGAAGGCATTTCTGCTGTCTCTGAACTCGCACTTACTCCCAACTTCTTTTATGGAATCTTTCACTTTTTTAAACTTTCACTAAAATTTGTCTGTCTTTTCTCTCCTAGCTGACTATGGGCCTCCCAAGTGCAAGGCCTATATACTATTAATAGCATACATAGAGATAGACTGGAAAATTATTTTCTTTGCTTTTTGAAATAAATTTTCTCCTCTTTTTCTTGAGTGGCTCTAACATAACTTTACATTCTCAAGAACTTAAGGACAGAAATGGCAGCAGCTGGATAGTGTGCAGAAGTAGCACTTTCTGCCCTGGATTTTCTCTTCTGGATTCTTCCATTATCTTCATAAATGTGGACAAGTCACTTCCCTCAGTTTCTTCAGCAGCAAAATGGAGAATTGGGGAGAAGCACTTCTGGAATGGTGGAGTGAAGACCACCAAACATCCACACCTCCAAAAACGCAAAGAGGAAAAAAAAAAAAAAAGCAAAGAGAGCACTAACAAAAATTGTTAAAATCAACTTTTTTAGAACCCAGGAAGTTAAAGGCTTGCAGCCATTCCTGGAGCATTTGTTTAACAAAATGGCTGAATCTCCATAAGAACCATGAGCTTTATGGCATTTCAACTTTCTCTGTTGTCATCTCCCTCTTCCTAGCTTCACGATAGCCTTGGAAACCAATAGCCTCGCAACTATGGTAGCTATGAAAACAAGTAGCCAGGAACAACTGGAAGGGGCAGAACACATTTGGAGCTCCTTGAAAAGCTCTATCCTCAGAGAATTGTCACTATTTGACCTGGCTGGCTGCTCCCTGAAAGCTTATTCTGAAGTTTGTCTTTATTTGACCTGACTCAGAGCTTGCTCTGTGTGAATGGCCCTATCCCTATGGCGTTTGTTGAAAGCAATCAGTGACAACTGTTTAACATTGCAGCTTCCCAAAGCAGCAATATCAGTTGGGCTTAAAGAGACTGATGAAAAAAATTAAAAGGAAAAACAGAAATGAGATCCCTTTTGGAGGTTTTGAAAAGCTCCAACATATTTCTGGGAATCTAGAAGGCTATACGTATGTGCAGGGCTGTGCACACGCCTAGGAAAGATGTGAGAAGGCCCTAATCTCTCACTTCTGGCTGATCTTGAGGCTCTGTGCAAACAGAACATGAAAGGTAAGGCAGAGTTGTAAACTGCTTGTCGGAGCATTGAAGGCATGCCCCCAGAGTCACACATAGCCCCTTGGCAAATGTCGGAAAACTTAGTGATTCAAAACATTTAAAGAAATCTCTGTCCAATCATTAGCTGACCAATAAGCTAACCAAACAGAGACTTAAGTGGCTGCACATGACAAAGAATACAGACTTTACAGAATTATTCCAGGAAGGTCACTAAACAAACAAATGGCAACAACGAGGAACCCAGGGGAGAGTAGATCTGATTTCCAAAGTTGTCACATTATGTTATTTAAAGTATCTAGTTTTCAACAACAACAACAAAATAACAAGACACACAAACAAATGGAAAAGTATGGCACATACACAGGGGGAAAAACAGTCAATAGAAACTGTCCCTGAGGAAACCTGTTTTAGTTATCCAGTGCTGCAATAACAGAAATACCGCAAGTGGATGACTTTAACAAACAGAAATTTTTTCTCTCACAACTTAGGAGGCTAAAAGTCCAAATTCAGGCTACCAACTTCAGGAGAAGGCTTTCTGTCTCTGTCAGTTCTAGGGGAGGATCCTTGCCATCAATCTTGCCCTGGTCTAGGAGCTTCTCAGCACAGGGACCCCAGGTCCAAAGGATGCGCTATTCTCCTGGCTCTTGTTTCTTGGTGGTGTGAGGTCCCCTTGTCTCTCTGCTTGCCTCTCTCTTTTATATCTCAAAAGAGATTGATTTAAGACACAACCTAATCTTGTAGATTGAGTCCTGCCTCATTAACATAACTGTCTCTAATCCTGCCTCATTAACATCATAGAGGTTGGGTTTACAACACAGAGGAAAATCACATCAGATGACAAAATGGTGGACAATCACACAAGACTGGGAATCATGGCCTAGCCAAGTTGACAGATACTTTTGAGGGACACAGTTCAATCCATGACAAAACTCAAATGTTGGACTTATGAGAAAGAGACTTTAAAGCAGTTGTTATAACTACGTTCAAAGAACTAAAGGAAACCTTATCTAAAGATTAAAGGAAAGTTGCAGAATGTCTCACCAAATAGAGAGTGTCAGTATAGAGATAGAAATGATAAAAAACAACTACATAGAAATTCTGAATATTACAATAACTGAAATGAAAAATTCACTAGAGGGACTCAAAGTAGATTTGAACTGACAGAATTAAAAATCAGAGAATTTGAAGATAGGTTATTGAGACTATCCAGTCTGAGGAGACCTGTGTGGTGCAAATGGTTAAGCACTTGGCTAGGAACTGAAAGGCTGGTGGTTCAAATCCACCCAGAGGCACCTCAGAAGAAAGGCCTGGAAGTCTACTTCCTAAAGATCACAGCCATTGAAAACCTTGTGGAGTGCAGTTCTACTCTGACACACATGGGTCATCATGAGTCAAAATCAACTCGACAGCAACTGGTTTTTAGTTTTTAGTCTAAGGAGGAGGAAGAAAAAGAGTGAAGAATAATGAAGGGAGACTCAGAGACCTGTGGGACACCCACAAGCATACCAACATATGCATAATAGGAGTCACTGACAGGAGAGAGAAAGGGGCAGGAAGAATAATTGAATAAAAATGGCCCAAAACCCCCCAAATTTGATGAAAAACATCAATCTGCACATCCATGAAGCTCAACAAATTCTAAGTAGGATAACTCAAAGAGATCCACACCTAGACACTTTATCATAGTCAAACTGTTGAAAAACAGAGAGATTCTTGAAAGCAGCAATTTATCATGTACAAGGGGGCCTCAATAAGATTGGCAACTGATTTCTCATCAGAAACTGTGGAGGCCGGAAGGCTGTGGGATGACACATTCAAGTGCTGAAAGAGTAAGACTGTCAATAAAGAGTTCCTTATCTAGAAAAACTATCCTTAAAAAATGAAGGAGAGATTAAGACATTGTCAGGTAAATAAAAATGGAAGAAATTTGTTGCTAGCAGACCTGTCCTACAGGAAATAATAAATGAAATCTTTAGGCTGAAATGAAGTTACAATACCTTGAATCTACATGAAGAAGCAAAGAAAACTGGTAAAGTAACTACATAGTTAAAGATAAGAGACAATATAAATGCATTTTTAAAACTTTTCTTCTAATACCTGATTTGAAAGACAGCTGCATGAAGCAATAATTATAAAATTCTGTTGATGAGCTTATAATGTATAAAGATGTAAGGGAAAGGAGGTATATTGGAGCAAATTTTTGATATAATATTGAAATTAATTTGGTACTAATCAAAATCTTAAGATGTTAATTGTAATCTCCAGGGCAAATACTGAGAAAATAACTTTAAAACACAGTAGTAGAAACAACAAGGGGATTATAATGCTATGGTAGGAAATGTCCATGTAACACAATATAAGGCAGTAATAGAGGAATAGAAGAACAAAAAAGACACAAGACATATGTCTTATTTACCAAGTGCTGCCCTAACAGCAATACCACAAGTGGGTGGCTTTAAACAACAGATGTTTTCTCACAGTTATTGAGGATAAAAGTTCAAAATCAGTGTCTTGGCCAGGTTAATTCCTTCTGTGAGCCTCTCTCTTAGTTTCTGGTGTTTGCTGGCTATCCTTGGCTTTCTTGGTTTTCTTTGGCGTCTGTCTCTCCCCTGTGTGTGTATCTGTGTCTATTCTGGTCTTTTATAACTCAGAAGTGATTAGATTTAGGATCTGTCCTAAACTGGTATTACCTCACTTAAAAAAAAAAACAAAACCCATTGCTATTGAGTCGATTCTGACTCATAGAGACCCTATTGGACAGAGTAGAACTGCCCCATAGGGTGTCCAAGGAGTGGCTGGTGGATTCAAACTGCCAACCTTTTGGTTAGCAGCTGAGCTCTTAACCACTGCACCTCCAGGCTCCATTACCTCATTCACACAACAAAAGAATAACCCTATTTCTAAACAGGATCACATCCACAAGGGCCAGGAATTCAGCACATATTTTTGGGGGACACAATTCAATCCATAACAACATATAGGAAAAAAAAAAAGCAACATGGGAGCTGTGAATCCTGCCTTATCAGTAATTACATTAAATGTAAATGAACTGCACATTCAAATCAAAAGACAGAGAGTGACAGAATGGATAAAAGAAAAAAGTCAACTATATGCTGTCTACAAAAGACACACTTTAATTCAAAGACACAGATTAAAATTAAGAGGAAGAAAAAATATATACCTTGCAAACAGTAACCAAAGATTGTTGGCATGACTAAATAAAATCAGATAGAACTGACTTTAAGATAAAGAGTTATTAGAGACAGAGAAGAGCATTTTACGATGATGAAGGTCAATCCAGTAGGAAGACATAACAATTATAAAAATATATGCACCTAATAATAGAACCCCAAAATATATGAAGCAAAAAATGATAGAATTGAAGGAAGAAATTGGCAATTCAACAATAATAGTTGGAGACTATAATAGCTCACTTTCAATAATGGAGCAAACAACTAGGCATAAGAACAAGGAAATAAAGACTTGAACAACTGGTAAACTAACTAGACCTAATAGACATCTCTTTAGATGTTGAATAGAACACTACTTTCAACAACAGCAGAATA